AAGAATTTCTAATAATTTTGATGAACTTTTCGTGCCTGTAGGTGACCCTCGTGCTATTGATAGAAGAAACCAGACTAGTAGTGGATAGGTCCTCATTTTGATCTTCGCGCATTCACAGTGGAGCGTTGGATTATCTGTTCAGACAAACAAAGCCTCTCAGCATTCAATATAAGATAACAGGAAATATAACACCTATACAAAATTAGGAAGTGAATAAACACTTGTACTCTACTGTTTTGACATATGCTTAGTTGTTTCGGGTCAACTCTTAACCAATCAACCTAAGCTGTTACAAAGTCATGCAAGGATAATACATGTTGAAACATATAACTGAGTGCAAAGTCAAGGTATTCTTAAAATCTTAAAACCGTCTTCAGTGGTCAATGAGAGAAGCCATCCCTAAAGCATTCATGGATTTTCTAGACCAAGGATAGGTGGTCCACAATAAGTAATGAGGAATCCACAAATTAGGATTGAAAATTCATCGTCTCTAATTCATAAATCACAACACCCAAAAATAAGTTTTTGACCAGTAATACTCGGAATAGAAAGGGTTCAACAAAAGTTAACCAAAATTGGAATTGATTTTAGTAAAATTGCTATAACAGGGTGCTCCGGAAAGAGTTAAACAGATATCTCAAACTTCTCAAAGTAGAACTTCTGAAGGTAACTCGGCTAATCCGGGGGGGGGACTTCAAACACTGAAACCACTTAATACTCCTTATGACGTTCACTGACACTGCCGGTGTAGAGGACGTTCTAATGGATAGTCATTTATTGAGATCAGATGGAGATGCAAGAATACTGCCTAATATATCATATTCTGAGCACAGTCTCATCAGAAACATTCTTGAGAAGTCTCGAGGGACATTCCTCTGTAGAAGAAATATCATTGTGCAAAGCGTGCCAGAAAACACGGACCCCGACTACTTAGACTTGATATTCGAGAGTGGAAATTCATCAAGTAGTCTTTGAAGCTCAAAAATATATTGATTCAACAAGTGGTGAGACTAGTCAAGAAGGACGGGGATCCTGGACCCTAGCTGATAAAGATAGCCTTCTTATCCTCCCATATGGCGGCTACCACTCATGAAGCATTTTGTGACGACAGACGCTGGATGCCAATTGAAATCCACATGCATCCGGATAGACTACATGATGCCAGTATCAAGTTCGGAAGCAAGTTGGGGCTTAGTATTCCACTTATGAACTGCCAAGACTATGAAAAAACCGCAGAAAGACCATGAGCTGCCAAATCGGAAAAACCTTTGTAGGTAGGTTACCTGTTCACTTACATAAGGCTCATACAGACAAACAGGGAGGGAAAGCTCACGTGTTTCAAATAAAGGGCAGGAAATGCGTGAACTCAGTAACACTGATAATACTCATCTGATAAAAATATTTGAAACATAGATACCTTCTCAAATTGCGGACATGGAGATGGCAATACCCGGGATATCTTTGTTTCGCAGCGGCGGAAAAGCAGGAACGGGGGCAGAATATCCCTGTACCTGCGATATCACTCAGAAGTACAACACGTTCACAACCAAGAGTTCGTCAATCTTGACTAATCTGTATGGCCCTCAGTAAGATTATATGATACTTCAGCGTGTCTAGTTAGAGTCGTCTCCTGGAAGTTCAGTGCTGACACGCAATTTGACAGTCGCATGCCGAAAGGATTGCCCTGCCCTTCTCATCTCGGATACGCTCATATCTTGATTCTGGTAGACGTCAATCTTCCCAAAGTCAACTCCTCTGAATATACATACATTGGATGTAACAATTCTACTGAAGCCCAGTTCTTCAACTTCACTGAAGATCTGGGATTATTCGGAAATGTCAAGTCAGAAACTCACTGGAGAATCAGTGAGACGCCCCCAAACTTAGACTGCGTATTTTCAAATGGGGAATTTTTGATCGACAACCTTTCAACGCTGATTCTCCTGGGGAAGAGCGATCACCTCGTCATACCTTTCAGTTTTATCATCAAAACTGAGGTAAAACATCATACTAACGATAGGCGCTGGAACTTCAGACGGTCAGGTTTGTCATCTTTACAGAGCAACATACAACAGATGGACTGGAAAGCTCACCCTCAACTTGATGTGGATGCTCGTTGGAATTTCTTAATACACACGAACTGATGTGCTACAAAGCATTCTGTTCCGCTAATGGTCCCTAAAATCTACAGGCAACATACTATCATTAAAAATCGATTTGTTCGACTGCCAAGCCGCAGAAAGCAAAACTGGGCGGAGTACAATCAAACTAGCGACAACGGCGCATACATGCAATTCAAACAAGCAAGAAACCTATGCACAGAGACAATTAGAGAAGACAGACGTCAGTACCAGATAAAACTTATCGACAAATTCGTTCCTAAACCGAAAAGCTTATTCCGCGTCTTGTTCTGCGGTCTCTTTTCGGCAAGCTGAGATCAGAGTTTCCCAACTGTCAGGTCTTAACAGCCCAACCAACAACGATAGTGACGCCGACGACCTTCTGGCAAGACAGTGTTTTGGGACATTTTAACCGACACATACTAACTATATTGATGAGAGCTTCATCATTTACTCAGCAGGACTCTCAGAAGTCAGTGTTGACTTGGTGTACCGAAAACTGCAGCACCCAAAAAAGACTCTTCCCTAGGCCCGGATATGGTTCATTCTGCTATACTGAGGGAAGCAGCCTCAATCTTAGTAACACCTCTTAGCGTGATGTCCTCATACTCGCTAAGCCGAAGCACATTATCAGTAGATTGGAATCTGGCCCACATCACACCAATTTTCGAAGGAGATCGACGCAACGAACCTTCAAGCTGCTGGCCGGCAGCACTTCCTTCAATATCCTTGAAGATTATGGGGTCCCCGACATGTGACGGTCTTCACGACCACTTTTCCATAAACGTCTTTTCATCCCAACAACGCGGTTTCAGAAAAGGTCACTATTGTATGACCAACCCACTGACCTCGATAGAGAGATTGACCACCATCCTTGGTCGTAAGGGGAAGGTTGATGTCATATATCTTGACTTCTCGAAAGTTTTTGCCAAGGTCAACCATATATGTCGTATCGATAAGGTCAAATGATTAGGCTTCAATTACCTCAAATTGCTTGACTCACTTAATATCCAAAAGATCGACATTTTAATGTCAAAGTTAACTTCACTTTCTCTCAAGCTATGGAATGTCTTAGTCGGTTCCCTCAGGGTTCAGAACTAGGATTTATTACTTTTTGGTTCATATAAACGATCTTCCCCACTAGGCATCGTCAGACTTGTTACCTTTCGCTGATCATGTGGGACACTGGAGAGATGTATGCAGCCAAGAGGATAAATTAGCGCTTCAGAACAAACCAACTTAACTTCAAAGTTGAGCAGATAACAACGGACTGACCTTTAACACTTCAAAGTGTAAAGTAGTCCATTTGAGACATGTTGCAGACTATGCATAAAACTTTGCCGATTTATTGTTGGAGGTATCTCAATTTGAAAAAGATCTAGAATTCTCGGCACTCTGTGATCTAACTTCTAACGCTAACTGAGACCAAAATGTTTGTCCAACAAACGTTGCAGTGGTAATATCGAAGCGCGTTTATGGCCGGATCGACAGTAGAACTTTCCACTTGATATTTAAGTTTTATTCGTCCCCATTTAGATTACGGAAACATGGTACTTCCTTCCTTACTCCAATAAGATAAGCACGCTGGAACTTATCCAATGGCGAACCACGAAATAAGATTATGGACACAAATACAAGCCTTATGAAGTGTGCCTCAAATCAATGAACCTTTGCCCATTAGAGTGGAGGCATCATAGAGGTGACCTGAGCAACACCTGCTCATGCCTATTCCCAACACAAGCTTTGGGGATAGAGCCCAAAATTAGAGATATGGTGTAGCAGAACGGACTTTAGACATGCATTCTACTTTCTAAGGGTAGTCAAGTGTTAGAAATCACTGCGGACTTAGGTGATCCAAGTGACTTCTCAAGAGTCCTTTAAGAGAAAATTTGACATTATTGAGAACAAAGAACGACTCTTCATTATGTTTTATTAATACTTTTTCCCTCATTCATTATGTAATACCTAGGTCCTTGCCTGGAAGCATCGGTGATTCAACTCTACCAGATACGGAAGCCCATTAAGCAAAAAGTTTTTGTATACGTCCGAAACCAATTGAACTTTTTAAATCAATACAGGGCTTGTGGAGATTATTAAGTTTTTTGACTGAGATTGTAGTGTGGCGTCGAGTTGCAGTTGACTATGCTCACCACCACTAGAAGTTTACGTGCCAGATATCAGAAGGCAATTGGAGGTGGTAGCGAAGTATATTTGTTGATGATCTCGTGGTATCGGAAGAATACCGAGATCGTGCCACACGAGTACAAGCGGATTCACCGAGTGAATGTAAGTTCGTGCAAAGTCACAACAAACGAAAGGACGAATGGAAGAATAATGGATGTCTTAAGTACAGTTAAACAAACAAGTACAGTAAAACAATCACTGGTACAATTGGTTATAATAATAATTGTTTCTATTAAACCAATCGCGTTCTCTTGATAAAAGTAGGTCACTACAAGATCATGAACCGTTTGATGTCAGACCACCGTTGCAAACCTGAAAGCACTAGATGGCCGTTTCGTCCTATTGTGAGACTCCTTCAGTCTTGAGCGCGAACGCTTAAACTACTGGTGTTGGTGTCCAACATCAACCAATCCATGAATTTTCGCGGCCCCTAGGCGGCCCTGGGTTGCAATCTCGTGAGCGGGATCGTGGATGGGCACTGCTGAGGAGTCTCACAATAGAACGAAACGGCCATCTAGTGCCTCCAGGTTTCTAACGGTGGTCTAACATCAATCGGTTCATGATCTCAATCAAAAACTATTTGAATCACTCTATATGGACAAAACGACCTTGACCAATGTTTTACTTTCTCAGTCCTAAGCGGTTGTCCAATCGGGCTCTCATTCTGGTTGTTGGTCCACATAGTGTGTTTTCAAAATGACTAAAAATACAGGCAAAAATACGTCATATATTCAACAACCTGGCAATGGAAACCCAATTCACTTACATATACCTGGCGATACACCGATCCATCTTCATGTCAATAAAAAAACACAGGTGTCTCGTAAGCCTGGTTCGACAACTCCAAAAACACCTGATACCAGTCAGTACCAAGCACCATGGGTCCCACCACCAGGAAAAACAAGTTCAGGTAAATATCTGTTGGGTAAAATATTTCAAAAACATGTGCATTGGGTGTAAAAGCACTTTCATTACTAACCTAGTTATTCAGCTTGTTTTGAGTTAAAGTCGGTTCCCAATCCCTATATTTCGCGGAAGTTTTAAGGATTTTGTCCCATTTCCCCACAATCGGGAGATTGGGATACCAATTAAACAAGACATGCATGTTTTCTTTGTACCCTAAGTAATATTTATCTCTACTTATCCTGTCTCAGCAGTATGACACATTCTTGGTTAAAGTAGAAAGTTGCAGATTGATGTGCATCTGGGAATATGCTCTCTTTGTTGATTTATTTGGACTTATGAGTGTTCATGCTGACATAGATTTTGGCTGCATTATAGTAGAGCTAAGTAGCATTCTTACTCCTATTTGAGTAGACAAATTATAATTGCTCTTTCTACATAACTTTCCATAAATGTGCTCCAACACAGTTATTTTTATTTCATTGTATATATACATATAATATGACTGATCTTCGTAGATAGATTACTTCTGCCAACAACTTTCATTTTGTTAACTTGAAAGACCTGTGGATACGAAATACACAACTGATCCTTACTATTATTGAGCCAAATTCATTAGGATACTGTTTTGAAGTATCAGCCAACTTTTCTCATTATTAACACGAACAAGTTTAGGAAAAAAACACTACACAGATCTTGCGGATTACGGCAATTGAGGTTATTTTGAATTATGTTCCTAATTTCCACATTATCCTAATAGGTTCGGCAAAGTCTTAGCATTTATTTTATTTCGACGCCTTAATTCACATTCATGAAAATCGCGTCGCTGTTAAGACTATACTACGTATATTGCTTAGTTGTAATTTGTGATCACAGTTCGTTGTAAATATATTCAAATGTTTCCTACCAAAGTATTAAGATGTGTACGACAGCACTCGCGATGCTGGATGTAGTTTTTATGTTAAACCGAACTTTCCATGTAGACTGGCGATGAACATGAAAACCTCTTCAAAGTCACAGCGCATATATCAAACCACCATTCAGTCTACCAAGGATAAAATAGATGATCTCATGGAGGAAATGTTGCTGGATGAATGATTTTTATCCTCAAAAACATTGGTCCATTCGAAAAGCACAGAGCATCAATTGGGGCTGAAGTTTGGGGTCAGGACTAAATTTTAAGATTTAAAGTGCTGCTGTAAGTCTTGAATTTAGGATTTAAGCTTATTAGTTTACGATCATTCTATATGTAGCCTGAACCCGAACTCTGGATGTAAATCCCAAACTATGCAACTTAATTCTAAGCTCTTCCTTCTGATTCTAACGCTAAACCATAATCCTAATCCTGTCAGTATAAGTCATTATTTCATATTTGGTGTTGGCTGAATGAGTTAAGAATTAGTCTGGGTTATTTAAAGGATAGTTCAGGCTAATCGGTGCAGTTTAGTTTTACTGCGTTTATAACTCTGTTTTTCCACTTCCTCCATATTTACGTAGATTTTTTGTAATATGAAACCCTAGCTCCATCATTATTTTTGTTCAAAACTACTGTTGTCATAGCCGCTTTGTTGAAGTAGGCATCGGTCTTGACTCACAATGCATCCGTGAGCTTCCTTCCATGCAGGACTTCGCGATGTACTTCCTTGTAGGAGTTCAATAGGATACCAACAATCTTTTCAGCCACTTAAAAATGTTGAGGAAGATTCCGCATGGTTTTTCTATCTACAATGTTGACTGCTTTCTCTTAATCAGGGAAGTCGATGTATAGTGATCAGTTCCGTTTAATTGATGGTTCAACATTGTCGCGACTTGTTCGATACATGACCGACGCAATCTGAAGCCATCCTGTTGTTTTAGGAGTTTGGCATCTGAATCTTCAATGTCATAAACAACTTTTTGTAGTTACTCTTTTTGTCTAGATTGTCCCCAATGGGTTTATTTATTTATTTATTATTTATCTGAACATAAATATTGGTACGAAGGGGCACTTAATACAAATGCACCACATATGCACTACAAAAGGGCTGGGTTACTAACCGGGTGCCTAGACTGAAGCAGGTAGTTTTCTTAGGGGACCACACCCCGATCCTTCAACCTAATGGTCTGATCCATAAGGCAGTGTTGTAACGTAAGGAAATGCAGTCCCATGGTAGCCGGTGGCCAGTAATTGGTTCACACGCCATTTGTTCCCTTAGGATCCTGGAGTCCATGTGCACCATTAGTTTGGAATGAGGGTTCTCCAACTTCCCTAGGTGGACTTTCTGTGTCCAACAACCCGGTTAAAGCACCGGACATTCACTTTTCGTCCTCTTAATTTCGTAAACAACAGTAATGTCACGAGAATGCAGTGAGCAGGACTTCCTTGGCAGTGCACATGGCCGTGTGAAAGCATTTGGAGAGGGAGAGCTGACTCTTCCCACCCTCAGCCGTACCAGGGCATTTGAGGGCCCAATGGGTTTCACTTATCCCAAACACTACCAGGTCGTATCTCCTCACTTCACTGGTTATTTAAGTTACCGTTTCGGTCTTCCACGTTGCCTGGAAATTTTATGTACTTACATTAATCGTTGCTCTGATTGTCAGAAGAGGCATCAGCTTAATGGCTTTCAAAAAACATAGGCTTTCACAATAAGGCAGCATAACTCTTATTTGTGAAAACCCTTCAATCCACAGGTTAGAGCTTAAAAGAATTATTTAGTTTACTCTGGTTAGCGCTTTGTAGATATGTTCTTTTGTATGAGCTATGGTTACTAACTTTACTCTCAATCATTCTCCCTTCTTCGCTCTTGGAACTAGCAATAACCCTAAGAGACTCGTTACGGAGTCTGTGGTAGTCAAGACTTGGTTAAATTGACTTATATCAAGAGAAATCTGAACACAACGCAATTATTTTCTAGTTTCTATATCAGTAATGTTGATTAATGTTCATCACCTTAAGTGAATGTGGGATGTTATCAGCTTATGCATTTATTCAACAAATACAAAAATTTTGTTCGTCGTGTTAAAAGAGATGTTCAGAATTAACAAGCATGTGTCATAGTTCTTCGTCTCAGTAGCTTGGGAAACCGTGGGGCATATTTTTTCTGGTATTGGTATCATAATTACTATACCAAAATGAATGTTTATCAACTAAACAATGGTAGGCTTACTATCTTAGATACCTAACTTTCAACAATAGGTTGGTGTTCATATCTCCTACTTTGGCAAATAACGTACATTTTATCTAATTGCTCAGGTTAATGGATTGTGCAGTATACATTTCATTCGATACTTGAGCATGTTTTCCTTAACAAACAATGGATACTGACCTACTTGAAAAATTATTTACAGGGCGGTACGTATACGACCCGACACGTCGCGTAAGAATGAAGTCTAATGAAAGGAAACCCCGATCACGTTCTGTGGAATCTATTAGTGATGTACATAAGGTGAGTTAAGACGTTCAGTTTTGATATCATATATATCATTAACAGTATTTACTAATGAGTAGTGTTCTGGCTCATCAATTCGCCTCTTAAAACAAGCAGGAATAATCTTTGGTTGTAATATTTCCACAACATGTACTTAAAAATAGGTGTGACAATGGCAAGACCTAATAATACTCTCTGAAGCAAATAATTTAAATAATTGGTTTATGCTCTCCATTTATTTTTCAACATATCTATTTTGTCAGACTAAACCATTACGTCGCTACTTATAAACTTATTTTGCTCAGTAAACTAAATGTTTATATGTAGAGTATTCCCTTAAAACTTCTTGCCAAAACATATTGCATCAATAAACTCTGTCATATCTGTTACGTGCTTCAAAACCCCCTGTTTTTGAGGTTAATAATTTTGAGTACTTGACTGGTTTGGATGAAAGCTTTATTAATCAGGAATATTGGTTGAAATATCAAATAGATATGTTCTCTAATAGTCATGAATATCTTATAATTATTGTTGACAGATAGAGAGTGAAAAATAAAATGTGTTTGACCTGAGAACGCACTGCTGGGTAATGCACCTTAGTTTCCAAGGGTTTAATTTTCAGTCACTCAGCCTTACGTAACTTAGAAAATGGCACAATGTTCATCGATCTTAGTTCCCACACCACATCAAGATCAAATTATCAAGTCAAATACCAGAGTAGCAAAAATAGTAAATGCAAGTAGAAACAAAAATTATTAGGCATAGACATGATTCCAGAAGGAAGAATAGATTTAAGGAATAAAAAGTATGACAACTTTAATACTCAAGATCTGAGAGAAGACGAAAGGTCAATACATCTGCACTTTTGTGACTGATTGAGTCAGGTAACCCAAAATCTCTAGCGATTGGTTCCGATAATCGCGCGGATACTAACCGGCTGGAACATACCAACATGATTCGGTTCGACATCCGATGGATTAATGGACTGGTTCCACGTTTGGTTTTTCCTCTCCTAGTTTTTTTCCAACCTACTCCTACGCCGCCAAACATTGCGAGCTAAGGTAGGCCGTGGTTCTGTATGCTTACTACTTGTGGTTCCTTTTTTTCAAAATAATATCAGTTATGTTCTAAAAGTAGTTTTGTTCAAGTTCCTAATTCTATATCAAATATACGGATAAGTAAATATATATTTTTTTCTCATTCATATTTTATTGTTTACGTTCAGGATTTTATACAGTTAAATGGTATGGAATCTGACAAAGAGCCACAGGATCAGTACTCTAAACAATTTAGTCCCCATGATAATATTTCGATGCAAGAGCAACCATATAGTTCTGTGAAGCATAAGGAAACAATTAAGCCTACCTATATCGCAGGAAAGAACAAGGATTTTGAAGGCAGACTAAATGATGGATCATTGTTGACAAATGTGGTTTTAGATGAATGGATTAAAGACTTGGATACTGCGACTAATCATATTGCGAAATCAGCAAGAAATATAGTGGATTGTCTAGAACAGGTAAGATTAAATGTCTTTGGAAAAGTTTCACCCTTGCGAAATGACATCGCTTACAAATATAAAGGTAGAATGGAACCTTCGCACTTAAGACTGAATAAGTTTAGAAATGAATAACAATTGGCTCATTACAGTGCTATTTTTAGAAAAAAATATGCTATGTGGATACACATCAGTCAGATTGTGGCTTTGAAAATTGTACAGCAGGAAAATTCTTAAGTAGATAAAAAGTGACAGAAAAACATCACATTCGAATCATGAAGTCAAAGTGACAAGTAACGTAGAATCATAGTGTAGTGTTTCTCTCTAAGAACCTCCAGAATGTTGAATAGTATATTTTGATAGTCTAGTTCTATGCCAGTATTAATACAGTCAGTGTTTTATTGAGATCATGAGGTTAGACAATAACACTTGGATCCCGGCTCACTGGTCTAGAGGTTATGTGCTCGCGCGGTACCAAGGGTCCTGGATCCAGGTCCTGCGTGTGGGATCGTGTACGCGCACTGCTGAGGAGTCCCGTACTAAGACGAAACGGTCGTCTAGTGCTTCCAGGTTTTCAATGGTGGTTTAACATTGATCAGTTGATGATTTTAATAAAAGCTCCACAGTCTCCACAACCATATACTGATGAACAATATTATTATTCAATGGTGAACATCTGTCTGTTTTCTTTCAACGTTTATTTACGGTTTCGAGTGGGTACATGACTTCAGTATCCTTACATCCAATCCTTCTTTTATATATTACTACCATTGAAGTTACTACTGTGAATTTGCTGTTCATCTTTTTGTGCTAATGAGGTGTGGCAATTTGAACCGATGCACATATTTGCCCGGTCCTACGTTGTAGCTGATCGACCAACATGACTTAAGTAACCAAATCATTGTGAGGATGCTAATTAATTATGCTTTTGGTTTATGTGTAGACCTTTGAGTTTAACTCTTCCACTGCACTCATTGTAGCACCAGATTTAGATTATTAATACTGAAGTCAAAGTAAGGTTGTGAAAAGCAATATACAGGAGTGGAGAATCTTTATATACAACTTAATACCACGACATCTTAAATTTCATAATCATTACGCTGTCTGTAACGTAAAATTTACAATGCTTTTAGGTGTTGGTTGTAGTTAAATAGGGCGTCAAGCAAATCCTCATCTTACTCTGATCACTTAAAAGTTTATAAAATTCTCCTTGCACTATAATAAGACCATCATTTTTAAGTAGGTGAGTAAACATAATTGTACTAAACATGTTTTGTTTTTAGCACCTCACAGAACAGGATATAATTACTAACCAATGTGCCAACCTAAACTTTACATCTTTATGTCCAGTTTTTCGTTTTCGGATTCACAAACACTTCCGTGTTTATGAAATAAAATCTCCGTCCTTTGTTGTAAATGTTCATTATTAGGGTCTATATTCCTCATTATATTGCAGAAAATCGGTTACATACTGTTAACTTTTACATGGATTTACGTTTACTACAAAGATTAGTTTTGGACCTGAAAAATCTTATTTCAACTGAAAAGTATCACAGGAACATACATTAATTCTAGTTTTTACAAGGTTTCATTTCTTATATTTATTAGATTTGATTAACAATTCTCCTTCGATTATGGTATTCCTCATCGTAGGTTGCATATGAAGGAAGACGTGTTGACTCACATGATATGTCACGTATTGTTCAACCAAGGGATGAGTTACTATTACATGCTGAAGTCGCTGGGTGTGCAGGACGAGAGTTATGTCGCTGGGCTTCAAGTATTCAACAACAACAAGATCAAATTTTAAATAATCGCTTAGCTCAGACACAAAACCGTGAAGCCACTTTAACCTCTGAAGTTCGACGTTTGACAGAAAAACTGGGCCGAATGGGTAGGTCTCATGTGTTACTTATTATTTAAACACATTTACTATTCAAAGATAGTTTTAATCATGAAGTGAAATTATCTGCCCAAAAACGGAAACTTAAATAGATATCTCGTCCAATCTGTAAATTCCTAGCAGTATATACCCACAACTTCACTCCTAATCAAACTCTAAACCTTCATTGCTTTCAGTACACACGTTTCTGTTAAACCACTAAGTAGAGCAGTTGATTATTCGTTTTAACTGGTTCTCCTTTCAACCGGTATGTTGTTCGTCTGAACATTCTACTACCTACTTCAGATCGAGGAGCTAGAGCCGTCACGTAAAAGTTTGCCTGGAAGTCAAATACGTAAATGATTTACATTCATCCACTGAGTCACTTATGTCAGATGTGAGACAGTTAGTTACTCATATTAAAAAGCATTGGAGTGAATTTTACTTTAATTCTCACGAATTTTTAGTGGTCTGATGATCTGAATCCGATTGGAAAGAACATTTGAATATGTCATAATTCCGTATAATACACCTAGTCTACAGTTGTTTGTGTGACGGCGGTTGTGAGAAGCTAAATACAGATTGCGTCGGATAAATCTACTTCAGGCACTCATTTGTTCAGACACATTAAGAACAAGAAGCGGGAAGGCAGGTGTACCAACTCCCATTTTTATGAGACGTGACTCAATATTTGTAGCCAGAAAAAGTAAGCTATGTGAGATATGTGATGAATAGGGTAAACGATACACGTACAACACTCATGCAAAACAGTCTAGTTAATAAGAGAATAATTGACAAGGTCAAAATGTGACTGAAGAAAAATGAATAGACTGGTTTGTCTGGAAGCTAGGATAACCTATATGGCCTTGACCTAGTGTTAGACACTACAAATTATCACATATTGAGTTTCATACATGCTGTCTGCTTTATCATGGATAAATTAGTAGTATACTTAGTCTCCATATGCAATGTGAATTCGATTCATAACTTAGTAAGAAGTGTATGTAGTTTACTGGGTCTCTATTGTTTGCTTTACTTATACGATTATTACATTGAATGCATTTTCCTCTTTCGGTTATTTAGAAGTTGATTTGGAACTGGCTCGTAAACAATTGGATGAACAACAAAATGAAAGCTTAAAATTCAATACAGTACATGAATCCATGGAGTCTGTTAAAAATCACTTGCAACGTCAACTACGTCAACGTGAATCAGAATGCAGCCGGTTAGTTTTTTTATTATCTGTTCATGATTGATCCTGGTTTCTATTTTATTACTTCGTGTGTGCTGTCTACGACTTTCGAATTAGGACATTTACTAAACTGTAATCACTTCATTGTTTCTTTATGTCAAATATACGATCTCAAACCCTGCTGTAACATAACATCGTTGATGCTTATCTTCACAAAAGGACGTTGGGGAACCAAACCATAGATTCAAGAAAACCATCTAGCTTTGGGCGTTCACATTTTTAATTACATGTATTTACTTCAACAATTAGAGCTCATTTGTTAAAATTCAATGAAGTACATCCGACTTAGTTGAAAAGACAATGATGTTTGAGAATAAATTTTAACTGAGCTCTAAGACTTCACCATCATAATTTAGTGTTTAATTTATTGAGCTATGGGAAAAATAAGATTGATTCAGCACAAACTTCGGGTAGACGTTTGTTCAGAATAACGATGAAAGCTCCAGGACCAAACCATCCAGCTGAAAGGTCGAAACTCCACCAAAATCATCCACCTCAGCTACAAATCTTCTTCATCTCACGATTGATTCCACAAGTTCCAACTTAATATTTTAAATTCTAATTATGTATAGACCTATAAATCATATCATATTGTCAAATTCTAATTGGTTTCCGAACAAAACCTTTTTTACGGTTTAGCCGTTACACACTTGTTTTTGTCATTGTTTTAGTTTGTCTGTCCAAGTACGTAATTTGGAAACTCGTCTAGCAGAACAGCAAGCACAGAATCAAGCTCGTCTGGAAACAGCTGAAGTCAGTTTAGAACGTATGCGAGAAACAAAAGAAGCATTGAAACGAGCTGCTAAGTCACAGAAACGTCGTGCAGATGAAGCTGAAGAAGCATATCGTGAAATTTCTCACAAGCTTGCTACTCAAGAGTCTATTATAGCTGGTTTTCAGGTAAGAGATAATGAATTTTGCAAAATGAGTTGTGTGCATATTTAGGTTCGTTCATAAACATATTATTTACTGGGACCCAACATAAAAGTTTTTATTTTTTGTATGAAGCCAAGAGTGTCAATAGACTATCTATCGTGATACGATTTAAAGAAGTTACTCTGAAGATAACTAGAGAGTCAACAAAAGCCAGGAAAGAATAAACAATCGTTTCTTTTTAGTATGACGTACTTACGATGCATACTAGAGACCTAACCCCATGATCTCCGGACCTCGCTGTATTTACGACACTTCAGTCTTCATTATTCGAAATATTGATTTGATTTTGTGATCTTGAAACTAATTTACTCATTAAAATGATTAAAACTCACTTAACATTTTACCTTACGCGTATGGTCAGAATCCATAGGCTGTCTTTCACTTAGGTTTCCTTTAAATCGTTATATAATTTGAAGTTCCTCTGTAGCGTAAGCGTATGTACAACTATTGAGTTTTTTAAAGAAATTATTCATCAGCTAGTAAACAAGATGATTATCAGTGTTGAACGATGCAAGCTTGAAATACGTTTCTTGTTTGACTGTGAATACGCTTCATTATTAAGTTTCACAAAGTACTAAATTTTCGAATGTCCTTGATATAACGGTAAAAAGACAGTTTCGCGTCCATACATTTGATGATAAACAATACGACTTGACAAACATGACATGCTCGATCACGATATCATATAACACTCTAGATAGTTAGATAACCAGATAAAATCACATGGTGTACAATTCCGAACAGAGATTTAGAACCAGATTATTAGCTAAAATAGCCGTTTATTAACACAAATTGTAAGCTGTTACACAGCGTGAAATACATAATAGAATACAATCGAATACATAGTGGAACGAATTTACAATATTGTGTAGTCTCGATATGCATTCTACATTCTGATGTGTCCACCTTCGCTTGTTGATCAATCACGTCCTCCGACATATCAGTCTCCAAATGCGAAACTTCAGTCAGTCAGTCAGTAACAACGGAGAACTTCGTACGTACGTACACACCACATTAGCACAGAGATGCAGTTGTCGATTCAGATCCCGTAGTGGTAGAGGCGGTAAGAGTATAAGCAGTAATCGGAAACATTAGGGTTTGAAGATGTTATTTAGAGAGTATAATCCAGTGAAATAAATTTGGAAAGAGAAATAAAGAGACAAGGAGGATTCAGGAGATTAGAATTTAGGAGAACACAAAGAGTGGATGCACCTGCCCCATTGCAAACGATTTTGAGCCATATCATTCAGGGTCTCTAACTGTCGGTTGCTATCATCTCTCGGTCCCCAACCAGGTAGTCTACACCTATCAATACATCCTCGACCAGAACGAAACCCAACCTGCTCCTCGCGAGTCAATCATTCTCGGGTTTTGAACAACCTACGAAGTATGACGGAAGCCAATAGCTTGGACGCAATCGGAAGTAAACTTATCCCCCGATAGTTGTTACAAGAACGACGTGAACCCTTTTTAAAGATAGAGACAACTATCGACTCATTCCATGACGTTGGTACACTCTCTAGATCCCAAACCTTTGTAAACAACGTCGTCAATTCCTTAGTCAATAAGTCACCACCATCTTTAAAAAGAGCCGGAGGTAAGTCATCTGGGCCAGGTGATTTGTAACGCTTCAAGAGTTGGAGTTCCTTGCGAACTTCCTCCTCGTTTGGTGGATCAGTCGTCACCGGCCATGGAGGTCAGGACATTCTGACCGATGTTGCCGGAGCAGCAGGCCAGTTGAACTGCCCTTCGAAGAATTCTGCCCATCGTCCAAGACGTCGATGGATGTTAGTGATTGGCATCCCGTCATCCTCTCAGATTGTTTCACTCACACTAGACTTCTTGCTGCCAGTGGCTCGGATGAGTTGGAAGAGCTTCCGGTAGTTACCAGGTGCAGCTGCTGTTTCCAGCTCATTAGCACGCTTCGACCACCAGGCTTCTCGTTCCTTACGCAAGCTTTGCCCAATTTCCCTACGTAACAACCTTCGTTTGTGGTCAAACTCACGGTCACCCGGAGTAGACCGACGGGCTTCAGTCAGCTGTAAGGAACCTGCAGAAACCCAGTGCCTAAAAGCGGGACGTTTCGCAAACCCGCAACTGACTGTACCCGCCATTTTCATGGCGTCATGCAACTGCAACCAATGCTCATCTATACTTTTCGGTGGAGTGGTAGCTAGCCTAGAGGCTAGCTCGGTTCGATACCTACTTGCAACAGAAGTTGCAACCAGCTTGCTAATATCAATCCGTTGATGGCGGTCACTTCGTTGTCCACTGAAAAGTAAGGTAAGATTGGCGCAGACCAAGGCATGGTCAGAGTCCAGATAGGTACTTCAGAAGGAGCGGCAGTCTTGTACACAACCACGCCAGCGGCAGCTGATCACGATGTGATCAATCTGAGTCCAGGCTTGAGATGCAGACGGAGGACGCCAGGTGGCACATCGGCGATGACTGTGCCGAAAGTCAGTGCTAGCCAGAAACAGGTTGTGGTCTGTGCACAGTTGCAGTAGACGGTCCCCGTTATCTGACCTGCGACCAACGAGTCCCCATCGGCCACCTAGACGACTCTCTTCTGTGCCTAGACGCCCGACCTGAGCATTCAAGTCTCCGGCTAGTACTACAATATCTGTCGAACGCACTTTCTGGAGAACAGATAACTGGTGGTAGAAATCATCCTTGATTGCATCCGGGCTGCAATCTGTCGGGGCATAGGCAGAAATGACGAAAAGACATCGTTTCTCACGCCGATTTCTTCTCACTTTGATGGAACTTTCTAATCTAACAGCACATAACCGACTGTTATTGGGGATCCAATCGACTAGTGCTGCCTCACTCTAGCGCTTAGTGCGACATCAACGCCAGCAAGACCAGACGAAGATGCCACAGGGTCCCCGGATAAGCGCACGTAAAACAAGCTTTTTGAAGTGACAGATGTAGAGCGAATTTGTAGTACTTCACCAGAGTCTTGAATACGGTTCTCGGATAGACAGCAGACATCGATCGATATGAAGACTTTCCAAAGACATAGCCAGCCCTATCTGTTGTCCAACCTGCATAAGTGTGCGAACGTTGAAGGCAGCCGGTTTGAATGGTTCACGTGGTTTCAGAAAAACTGCTTCAGTACTCATATTCGGTGGTAACATACAATTTTCAACCGGACAGTGACTCGAGAACGTTTGGATACAGTCGAGTTTCCACCAAAGACGAGCCGCTGTATAAGTATAAAAGAGGGTGAATAATGTGGAAAGTAATAATAATAATAATAATAATAATAATGACAATAGTAGTGATAATAATAATAGTAGTATTAATAATGACTAATAGTAATGATGATAATTTGAATCAATTGATTGTTTTTCGAAGCGAGCAATGTAGTTTTCATAGACATAGAGAGGTCATTATTTGTGTGTGGGCTGTGATACTGCCCGGGTGCCCAAACCGAAGCAGGTGGTTTTCTTAGGCAGCCACTCCTCGAGCCTTTGACCTAAAGGTCTAACCCACAAGGCAGTGGAGCATCGTAAGGAGATGCAATCCCATGGTAGCCGGTGACCGACGATTGGTTCATACGCCATTTGTTCCCGCAGGATACTGGAGCCCATGTGCACCATTGGTTTGTGATCCGGTTAAAGCGCCGGGTATTCGCTTTTCGTCCTCTCATTTTCGTAAACAACACCCCCGCCACGAGAAGGCAATGAGTAGGACTTCCCTGGCAGAGGCTATATACGCGCGGCCGTGTGAGAGTATTTCGAGAGGGAGAGCGGACTCTCCCCACTCTCGGCCGTACCAGGGCATTCGGGGCAACTAGCGAACCGGTCATCATCTATTAGCCGATTCTGTCTTTTTAATTTGTCTTAAAGGAAACTCTGAGTTTTTGTTGCTCATGCTTTTCTTCATAACATTACAGCAGGAATTGGAATGGGTGACTGGTTTTATTTTTTCAGCATATATAAGACAAACTTAATTTTATTGAACGGCAAAACGTTCAATGAGTGTTATAGAGTATAACGTGATAAGCAGCCAGTTTGAACGTAACTTATTTTGATTTCAATCTTTCTTCAGTGGTCAGTAGTTGTAGGTTTGAATACCTTTTGCAACCCATAAACTTGCATATATTCATACATTTAAGCTCCAACACTTATTTCCCTTCATGATTTATCCTGTGTTCACAGATGGAATCGGAAAACTGTGCTCTTAGATCTAGAGGTCGTAGCAAGGAGCGTCAGTTAAATGATGTAGGTATTATGCATGATGGTGGAATAGTAGATTCAAATAAATCTATGTATGCAAATGGTGATAAGAGTTTAAGAGAGGTGAGTAAAACAAGTTTATATGACGTGTTAATACTTATATTTAATTTTATTATCATGCGATTGTGAAGCAGTGACTCACTAGTATTCGCAGTCAGCTTTCGTTTAAATAGGTTGCTGGTTTAAATCCCCACTACCTGGTGGTGTCCAGGCAGCCGAATAAAATAGGAAATCAACCTCCGTATAACAGCTGTGGCTTATTATCTTGTGCAAGCACGTAAATGGTTAAATATCAGGAAACTAGGTATTATTTTGATCGAGTTAATTATTTATTAAGATTTTTAGGATTTCTTGGTGATAGGATTGAAATTCTAGCAATATTTAGATACATTTTCCTATTAAGGTGATCGTCATCAGAATCACAAGGAGACGTTGAGTACTAAAAACCGTAAACCAGTTAGAATCATGCCATCATTTAGTATCCGACATATTGAGCACGGATCTTTTCTATCGGAATTTGTGACATATTATTTTATGAAAGATAAAAGTTGGTCAAGTCAACGAATGACACCAATGCATAAAAACACTGATTATTTGTTTGAGTTGCGAGAAATTAATAGTTTAAATATAGCCCTGGTAATGCAAGATCGTCCTTTTTTATTTTTCTATATATCCTTAGTACCCCACAACTCGTTTGTTTATTTCTCTGCTCATTTAGTTCGTTTATTAGTGACCCTTTTTTTATCTAACTCCGATTTGGATGGACGTATGAATGTGCTGTTTAACACGTTACCGGCGTTTATTTGAAAGCACGGGAGATCTAAAAACAACTGAATACAAACCAGGGTCAGTGAATCTCCGAGGAGGAAGAACACAACGCATATATTTCGAAAATAGAACACCGCGGTTCTGTCACAAAAATGGAAAGCTGATTTAAAATATAGTCTCACTAATCATTTTCAAGGCCAGTTTACGCAGGGCTTATTCTTCTAGCACATCTACTCTCTGTTGTCCTGCAATAAGAAAAAACACATTCACATTAATTACATCACGCATAATGATTTTTAATACTGTTAAGATGAGCATAAAACTTTAATTTAGCACCTAGACTAGAGTTGTTTGTGTGACGGCGGTTGTGAGAAGCTAAATACAGATTGCGTCGGATAAATCTACTTCAGGCACTCATTTGTTCAGACACATTAAGAACAAGAAGCGGGAAGGCAGGTGTGCCAACTCCCATTTTTATGAGACGTGACTCAATATTTGTAGCCAGAAAAAGTAAGCTATGTGAGATATGTGATGAATAGGGTAAACGATACACGTACAACACTCATGCAAAACAGTCTAGTTAATAAGAGAATAATTGACAAGGTCAAAATGTGACTGAAGAAAAATGAATAGACTGGTTTGTCTGGAAGCTAGGATAACCTATATGGCCTTGACTTAGTGTTAGACACTGCACGTTTTAGCATTCCTTGTATTGGCTTTCTATCTACTGTCTTAAAGGGATTTTTATATCTCATTATTGGGATTTCAGTCTATCAATAATTTTCTTATCTATTAAAAAGGAAAATCTCCGATTACGTGAAGTAGCTTCGAAATGCGAACAACGTTTACATGCAGCTGAAGAAGAACTACAGCATCTGCGTACTAGTTTGTCCACTTGTGAAGCTTTACTAAATGATTATCACGGAGATGCTGCAATGCAGGCTAGTCGACTACATACGTTGAATGAACGATTAAAAGTAATCTGGTTTTGTCACATTTAGCGTTTAATTTTTTAATTCTTTCTTCCTGATCAAATAATAATCATTGAGTATTGCATTGTTATACGAACGTCATTGATTAGAATTCTCATCACATAAACCGCTGACTAAATTATGGCAGAGTAAAGGAACAGCAGAATAGCTTAGTAGAATCATCATTTCATAAAGTCAAAATGCTATTAATAAGTGATTCAGTTAAACATTGTTGAAAAATGGTCGGAGAGAGATTTCATGTAATATACTTCAAAATCAAACTCGATGATGCTGAGGATCCATATCTCATGATTATTATATATTCATTTCTTCTAGTTTGGGTTATGCTGACAGATTATTGTTAGCTGTCTCACGAAAGATACCTTCGTAAATGCGTGTAACATTTATATTCCCGTAATTATATTTAAAACGAATTCTGTTCAACCATTACGAAATGCGTAAGGTGTTTTCTCAGTGTCAATTCAACTGAATATTGATAATTATATACAGACTAATTGTCTGTTTATGGGGCTTTTTCTGGTTATCCTCAGATTCACTACATTTATTTTCTATTTTTCTGTCTTGCCCTTCAGATTGTGGTATGTTATGGACTTCAACCACACTAGGGTTCAGATGGTTAACTGATACCGTATGTAATTTGACACTAACACAGGTTTGACTCGTTCTTGTGAATCTGAACATTTGGATTGAATTATTTACATTGGTCTGTATCTTTATGGAATCAGAAAAACAAGTCGGCATATTTCTAAGCTGTAGAGTTTGAGAATAAAGCTTCTCTTCAGTAGGTTGAGGATAAATGTCTCACTTTGCCGATGAATAGTGTGACTTGTGTACGCAGATATAGTTTGTTGATAAGTAACAGTAATTAAAAAAATTTGGGTATGCCAACGCCTTCTGCGAGCCGTCACTTTATAGTCTCTTGCTCCCGTATTTTTTTATTATCTGGTGGGATATTAATATTTTACAGAAAACAGAATCTGACAGAGAGCGTAGTCAGATTCAGTTGGATGATGTGGAACAAAGATTGCTTGAAGCAGAACACCGTAATCGTATTCTAGAGGATGCGTTACAATCAAAAGAATCCCAGAAAGGCGATTATGTGGCTAGCACTCCGGTCAATACAAAACAATCATCGAAATTAGGAGAATGCGACCAACAATTGCATTTGGACCGTGAGGATTATTCTGGTCAGAACAGTCAACTGAATGGAAGTGCTGTAAGTGGTTTGTGTATGATTTTCGAATTTTCTCTGTGAATAATTCAGTGTTATACAAAGAAAGGAAAGATAATAAAATGGATTTGACTATAAAGAAGTATAAATACGGTTTTGTGCTTGAGACTAAAAGTTACATTTATTGTGTGATGACTAGTAATGCTAAAGCGCAATCAAAATCCTGATAATATGCAATAAAATTCCAAAATGTAGCTCATTTGGTTGTATTTTGTTAACTAAGTAAAACAGTGAATTACACTAATTCCAAGCAGAAAATAATGTGCTACTACCAGATAAAAATGGCATTTTAGCACATAAAAATTACGAACTATTAATTTATTAACAAATATTTTTTGAATTAAATTGACCAATTTTATCTGGCTAGTAAGTAAGGAAAATAAACAATCGCGTTATGTTCCATCCAGATGATATGATATTCCGTCTGGACGTTAATAAACAATTTGTACATTCAAATTTTGAACCACTACTATCGGTGGGTCTCAAGCAATCATATATTAAGTTACTCAGTAAATATACTTCAGAAGATAAAACTTCTGATACTGTGGAATTATTATTAGAATTGCCGAAAGACGAGAAGTATTGATAATTAGATTCAAACCGATTATTAAACAGTAGACAATACAAAAATAAATCTGTGTTATCTCATACTTATTCAATAGTTCTTCAAACTAACAATGATATAACTCATTTATCACATATAGGTAACTGTACTTACTGGGTTTTGAAGCAAATGGCTTGTATGAGTGTAAGTGATATTAACCAGCTTCCCAGACGAAACTCGGAGAACGGGTTCCAATCTGTGGCTTAATGGTTGAATTCTGAGCTCTTCTGACTATTAACTCATTACTCACTTTCTATTAATGAGGTCAAGTTTTATTGTTTTTATGCATATTTTCCGAATGATTTCCAAATTAATTCAGTTATAGTTGTTTCTTGTTTTGCTAAATTCCATTCTACTTGTATTCAGAATATAGGCATATCAAAAGATCAAAATATAACAGGTACAACAAATAATGAATTAATTCAAGAACTAAGAAGAGAATTATGTGAAGCTCAGAACGAAAAAAAACAAATAGAAAGTCGTACTGAAATATGTTTAAATGATTTGAGAGCTCAATTGAATCAAGCTGATGCAACGAACCGAAGTTTACAGGCATATTTAACATTTTTAAAGCGTTCTTATGCTAGTGTATTCCAACCGGACATGTTAATAAATCCTTCATTAATCAGTCCTTGTCAACCTATTGCATGTTCGTTAACAACTCAACTGACTACCAATAATACAATATCAAAAACTACACATCGTGAATGTGTATAACCCCTAAGACTATATGTATACAAACACACAAAACAGTATTTGGAAAACGTGCTTCCTCAATAAACATCACTTAACAGTGATGTCTATCACTTCTTGTTGCTATCTTATTTTATGAACACCAGTTTATTAAACAATGCAGGAAAAATTTACTTAATTCAGTATATAAGTTTCTTTTGGCCTTTTTTAAGGCTTTCTTTTATTTTCTCTTGATCCTAAATTAAGTTGATTGAAACTTGGGAGAAAAAACTAGATTTCTTTCTCCTGTAATCTCTAGTATACAAAATATATAATACTCACTATGTTACGCATACTTTGATTCTATTGCCTGTGATAATTTTGTTAAGGATACTTGTTTTTATACTTTCATCATTATTATTTCTCTTGGAATGGTATTTAGTATTACCATTACTAATGGCTAATTTTTCTCTAATAATTTCCGTTTATGCCTATCGATTTTTTTAAAAATCAAATTGTTAGTATTGGTCAGTTTGTTGTTTATCCGTTTTGTTTACTTTTATACTTGTTTACACACGAACGTAAACTCATCTAGCATGTTGGAGTTCTGGATTCCTATAGTAACGCTGAAAAAATCCTGCTGTCTGAAGTTTATTGATTAAAGGTCAATATTCCTATTTTATTCCTTTTTTTGAAAATTTCGTTATAGACAGTTTTTAAGGGTAACAAATTGTTCGTTTGACTTTTCAGGAATTGATCTACCAGAAGATGCACCTATTTACTTAAAATACATATGTAGCATAATTTTGTTTAGTGAAGTCACTAACAAAGTACGCCTTCACTAATAATAAAAATGTGGTTGGGATACGTCTCTCCTCTTCTAAATATATAATGTTGCTTCAGGACAGTTATGGGTCAGCACCTAAATTAGTCATAGGGAGTAAGAGGGTTAAATGAGTTGACTACTTCATTTATCTTGAAAGTCTCATCAACCCTGATGGTTGGAGAAGTTCAAGCATGGAAACAAGAATCATGCCTGAGATTTGCCAATTCGCCTCACTTGTGATTCAGTCTGGCGTAAACTCTGATCTAGTTTGAATCCGTTAGTAAAGGCATCCCAGATGCCTTAATGGTAACTTTCTTTACTGTGACAGTTAGTCATTTAGGCCCGAGTTCAAGGGAAACGATAAGTCCCCTCAACCATGATTTAGGAAAGAAAACTACATTGATTCACTGATGGAGTCATGAACTTTGTAATATATCCGTTATTAAATCCATTTGACATGAAAATGGAGGACCCACTAGTAGGAAATTCATAATATAAATGTTCGATAAGCTTAATGTAAAAACCAAGTATTTTATTAATGTAGAAAACAAAACGACATCATTTAAAAGTAACCATTTTAATTAATACCGATAATTCATTAGCGGTCAGTTGCTTTATGTAGAATATTGAATTTAGAATGCATATAAAGTAAAAAAAGAAGAAAGGAATACTATTCAACACCTACTTGTCGCCTATAGTGTAACCGTAGTAATACACTATAAAAAGGTTACTCATTTGCATTAACGTTTCTAGTCAATACAAATTACGTTATATCTATAGTACATGCATGCAATTGACCAAAACCTTGACATTAGAAAGAAAACTTGTCTTGATTTTTTATGAACATATTAACATCCTCCTTTTAGTAGATCTTTGTTTCCTAATCACTTCATAAAGTGTTTCTCTTAATCTCTCCAAAAAAGAATAAGGTTGCTAAGCAACTAGTGGTTTTGTCTCTTATATTGTAAACATTTCGTTTTTCTATCATTTAATAGTTATTAACTCGTTGTGATCATAATATATTAACCAAGCAATCAATCAATAGAGAATGCAATAAGCATAACTATTCTGTTGGTCGTTTTAGCTCAATAATTTGTACGTAAGTTATGCTTTTTTGTAATGAGGAGAATAATGACAATGGTAATAGCTAAAGGACATTTAAAACAATGACTAGTGATGTAATTCATCTGAGGAGCATGTTTACTGTCTAATTTTGTCTAGTAGCATGATATAGTGTGTCTTATTAAAGACACAGTTTTTAATAGTGACACATTTTAAATGTCGATTCTGGGACTTATATATTACCATTGGTAGGTTTTCTTAAACTATTATTTGGTCGACAGAACGCTTCTAACTTAATCAGGCCTTACTGTTTTATGGAATAAAATCAGTACATAATTACGATACAGAGATGCATCGTCCAACGCTCCTTGGTTTACAGAGGCACTCCGACGAACACCAATCCAACCTATAAACTAATCTCCACAAAATTCACCCAAGCTACATGGTCTTTGAGTGATCTTAAGATCGGCCTTATTATAAGTTGATTTTAGTTGGAAGAAAGCTGAGAATCTTGAAGTATATGATAAGATTTTCTATTCTATGAAGTGATGGATTTCCAGGCATATGACATTCATCTTATTTGTAATCTAAGGATGAGTTTGCCTCAATAGATATGTAAGTCTTTTAACCACATTAGTGCTATGGAAAGGGAGTTTGGGCCAGCTACTTCTTGTAACACGTTCGGATGTTCATCGCCCTGGAAGTATATGATGTTCAGAGACCCCGCTGTGGCACTAAGCACTACAGTCGATACGACATTAATAAACTAAATTCCGATTACAGTGATTTGTGTGCTGTTAAACTACAAGGCTCAACAGAGCTAAAATGGATTATCGTATGAAACGACGTCTTTTCATTACCACCCCAGACGTTCGAACAGATCCCATCCGAAATGTAATAAAGAATTGATCTTTCGCCATCAAAAGTCTCCGGGTATATTTTATAGGGCTAGCTCTTGGCTCGAATATGCTTATCCGGCTTTTAAGCCTAGACGAGAGTCGTTTGGATCAATGATGGGCACAAGAATATAGTTTCTTTCGGATTACATGTGTCGATTCTGATCACGGTCTGGTTTAGTTGTCATAACAACATTCTTAACGGAGTGACGTAAGCTGATTAGCTGTACCCAACGTCTCAACTAAATATCAAACTGAACTAGGTTCAAAGCTAACTAATTGTTCACTGGAAAGTGTGAATGAGAACTTGTTGCATTTACAATACATTGAGACTATGATACCATTTTGATTTAATCGAAAAACAAAGATTTACGTTGATAGCATTCATTACACTATATGGTTAAAAACGATTCAGATAACTATTTATTTTAGATTAAGAGAGTTTCTGTGGTATTTGTGTGAACTAACGAATCCTTTGTACTTGTTGAATGCTTGATTTCGAATTCCAAATATAGTACATTTATTAGTGCTTATCTAGTACTTCTTGTCCTAATAGAGTTATTACTGGGATTCCTAATGTGTACTATAATCCAAATACTCCTAACTATCATATTGGCGTCGCGATGGGACAGTTAGATATTCATCCAACTTCTGAAGCTTTTGAGGATTATTTAGAAAAGTTTGAAATCTGGAGCACGACTAAGAAAGATGTTGAGGGTGATAAAATTGTGGCACATTTCCTGACATCGGAAAAGAAGCATACAGCTTAATAAAAACTTTGGCGCATCCAGAAAAACTTATCTCACTTCCTTATGCAACTCTTAAGAAGCTATTATTAAATCATGTAAAGTGAACTAGTTTTGAATGCCGTGAAATGGCGAAATTTTATAAGATGATTCGTCAAAATGACTAAAAGGTTAGGAAATTCATCCTTGAATTGCAGAAGCAGGCTGCCAAATGTAATTTCGGTGATCAACTTCATGTGCAACTGAGTGATCGAGTAATTGCAGGAATTAGCATACGGGGTCTGGAAAGAGAACTTTTAAGAATACCAAACTATTCCTTTCAAGATGCTAGAGCGGCATGTATTAACTACGAGGAAGTGAATGAACTTGATATCCAGTCGATGAGAATTTCTAGTACTTTGCTTCGTCGTCATGATGAAATACAATTTCATCCACGTAATTCATGTGCATTTCGTACTGCTAAATGTTTTAAATGTGGTAAGATAGGACACATTCAGTCAGTATGCAAAATTGCTGTTCATTTTACCTCAAGTAGTAACAAATCTCTTAATTTATATTCCAATAATTGGGCTGTTCCTAATAATCATTTATCTTTGTCTACCACTTCGAAAGGTAATGCTCATATTCAAAAGCGATTATGTACATCGCTTGGTTGATTTCATGACTCTATTGTGAACACAGGCAGTATAGAGTCCAGTATTTCATTCGAGAACGTGAAATCTTTAGATCCTAACGTTGTGGTGCGACCCACTGAAGTATCAATATTTGGGATTACTGGACACCGACTGCCCATACGAGGATGTTGTGAATTGCTAATAAGAGATTATAAGTCTTCATACATACCTTGTGAATTTTTAGTTAGCGAAACAGGACTGTCAATACTGGATTTAAAGAATTTGAAAAGGCTTAAGGGGAAGTTTCTAAAGAAAACTCTGATGCTTTAATTAAAGATTTGATAGCTACGTGTGCTAAGAGCAGTGGGGGTTTATTATTATTTATTTGAACACATAAATATTAGTACAAGGGGGCACCAAATATATATGCGACACACAAAACAATGAGAATGGAAAGAGAAAAAAGTAAGGAGCGTAAGAAAAGAACAATAACGACCAGATTAGTGTAATAGTAATTAGGGGAAAGGAAACGTACAACCAGTAGAATTCTTTCAGTTAAGGGAGATACAACCACTTTTTATGAAGAAACTAAAAGGTTACAGCGAGATCTCCACTGGCTTCTATTCTGAGTCATATCTAATAACGTCTCTAGCCACTGTGTCACACCATCTCTCGGACCCCAGTCAGGAAGGAACAACAGAAACCAGTCCCGTACAGCTTTCTTTCATGCCCCGACACCATGTCATACACTGACCACCTCTCCGCTTCTTCCAACCAGTCCCAGAGTCGGCAAATAATGCACGACGTGGAATTCTCTGGGACGACATTCGGAGAACATGTCCAAGCCACCGAAGTCGGTGTTTCAAGATGGTGACACCAATAAAATTATCATCTCTGTGCC